AACTGGCAAGAACAAAACATGGATTTGAGCACTCATCTCATATCTTAATTCTTTTCCTGGATTTTTACAGCTTTTTGTTCATTTAAAAATGTGAAGAGGAATATAACTCAAAGGTAGAGCTCTTGCCTAGCATGTGTGAGACCCTGGGTTTATCCCCTAGCACTGCAAAAAAAAGAAAAGAATGTGAAATTTTTATAGATTAGACAGATGTTTATGTTTATCATGATGGAAAAACCACCTCAACACAATTGATTTTTGCATTTCTTAGGCCCCTGACAAAATGATACTTAACATATGTAAATGACTCCTAAGAAATATCATGTGACACAGAACTTAAACATGTCAGCCCAATATCCATCATGAGTAAATAAATAAAGAGTCCTTAAACATTTATAAAGGACTTTAATTATTTCTAAACATAGGTTTAATTTGCTAAGGACTTTTTTTTTTTCTAACAGTATGTGTATAAAGTGATAATACACCATGACTAAAAGGAGTTATTCTAGTAAGTCAAGTTTGGCTTAATATTGAGTTCATGCATTGTGACCCCAGCTACTGGAGAGACTGAGGCCAGAGAATGCCAATTCAAGGCCAGCTTGGGCAATTTAGTGAGAACCTGTCTCAAATTTTTTTTTAAAAAAAAAGGGGGCTGGGTTTGTGGCTCAGTGGTAGAGCGCTCGCCTAGCGCGTGTGAGGCCCTGGGTTCGATTCTCAGCACCACATAAAAACAAATAAAAGTCTATACAACTACAACTAAAAAATAAGTATTAAAAAAAATTTAAAAGAAAAGAAAGGCTGAGGATGTAGTTCAGCAATAGAGCATCCCTAGGATCCATCCCCTGTACCAAAACAATAAAAAATTTAGAGCCAATCTGTGTAAGTCACCCATAAGCAGAGTAAAGGAGAAAAACCATTTTAGATGACAACAGAACCAATCATCTCAATGATTACAAAAGCATCTGACAAATTCAGCACCCGCTTAAAATACAAAAACCTCTCAGAAAACTAAGAATATAAATTCCCTGGTCTTGTAAAGGCTATCCGTGAAAAACACCTAATGATGATTAAATAGTAAGATATATGCTTTCAGCATTTCTGTTCAGCGTCATTCTGGAGTTTCTAGCCAGTTAAGAAAAAGCTAGGGTAGTTGTTCATAAATAATAGACCATTTACATAGAAAATCTCATGTAAGAAGAAGAGAAAAAAGGAGTAAAAGACAAAAAAAAAATTTAACAAGATCAACCAGAATTAAAAAGTGCATTTAGCAAGATCATTATAGGAATCAAAGCCAGGGCATGCTAGTGATCTGATAGAAACTTGTGATCTAATTTGAAACTTCAATGTGTGTGTGTGTGTGTGTGTGTGTGTGTAATATTGGGGATTGAAGCCAGGAGTGTACTGCCTCTGAGCTACATTCCCACCCTTTTTAAAACTTCATTTTGCAAAAAGCCTAACTACAGGGAGCGAGCATGTTCATGAATTAGAAATTTTAATTTGTATATTTAATGCATTAACTACAAAAATTTCACTGTTTTTTTAAGAAAAGGGGAAAAAAAGAAATAGACTAGCTGATTTTAAATTTTCAAAGTGCAAAGACCTTAAAGTACCCAAAGCAATCTTGAACAGTTTGGAAGACTTGGAATATCTAATTTTCAAGACTATAAAACCACAGTAATCAAGACACTGTGGTATTATAATAAGAATAGATGAATATGTCAATGGACTAGAATAAAGAGTCTAGGAAAGAGACCTATATTTATAGTTTTTCAGTAAGGGGCCAAGTTAATTCAATGGGGAAAGCATACCCATATCGGTTGAACAACTAGATATCTAAAAAAGCCCTGACCCCAGCTCATCTACACACACACACACACACACACAGAGACAGACATATACACACCATAAAAATGGAGATGGGCCATAGATCTAAATGTAAAACTCAGAAACAGACTACTAGAAAAAAATCATAGGAGAGTATTTTGGATTTGGAGGCAAGTAAAAATGACTTGTTAGGTCACAGAAAGAATTTACCATGAAAGGAAATTAAAAAAAGAACTGCACCTCATCAAAATTAGAAATTTACACAAGACTAGCATCTTAGGTTCTCTGGGGGAAAAAAAGCAGAACCATATCAATATAACATTTCATATCTACTATAATGTTGGAAAAGACATGTGAAGCCATTAGATCACTCATATACAAGTGAAAGAAAAATGGAGTAACTACTTTGGAAGATAGTTGATCAGTTTCTTATTGAGGTTAAATGTTGACTTGCCATACAAAGAGGCATGGAAATATGGAAAATATGACCCAAATGCCAATAGAAAAGCGGCACCCTGAAGGCCTGTCACAGTAACTAGACATCAGATGTATCAGAAAGACTGACCATTATAAACATTCACAGAACTAAATGAAAGTCAGATTAACAACTTGAAGGAAGATACAACATTTTATCAAATAGAGAACAAAGATAAACACGCATCTCTTTGTATTAACAATGAGAAATTGTTTTATAAAAAGAACAAATCGGAAGTTAATTAAAAGTACAATAGCTAAGATGAAAAAACTAGAGGAGCTCTTAGTAGATTTGAACTGCAAGACAAAAAATAAGAATATAAATTCCCTGGTCTTGTAAAGGCTATCCGTGAAAAACTTGAAAACAGGTCAGTAAATACACGGTGAGCCACTTCTGTTATACTATTTGATTTTTAGAAACACATTTAGGATGTTTAAAGAATAAAATGTTTTTACAGATAAATTCCATAAATAACTGCTTTGTAGGCTCACCATCCATCCAGGAAAATGACTGAGGGGTTTCCTAAGACATAGGACCTCCAGTGCTAAACTGGAAAGGTCCTGGGTAAACCAGGGTAAGCTGGTCACTGCTGCCTTGGTTGAATACATTCCCTGGTCATTTTGGCCAATTAATTAAACTAGAGCAAAATGAGCAGCCTTGGATTTAACTTCCATTCTATTATTTGTATAGCAGGCAGGATGTTAAGTGCAGTGGTTCTTAAATCGAGTAGGACATTCAAATCACATGAAGAGCTTTCAAAAATGCCAATATCTACCTTCATCTTCCCACAGATTCTGATGTAATCAGTATGGACACTTCTTTAAAAAGTAGTTTTTAAAAAGTTCTAAGATACTTCTGAGTTTTACTTTGGATGAGCTAACACTGAAAATAAACTCACCTATCTCAGGGGTTGTTGTGAACATACAGACATGAAATGCTTTGCAGTGTCCAGCATACAGATGCCCTTCTAAGTGGGCTTAAAAGAGCCTATTCCTAAAAAACTAAAATTTAGATATGCTCAGCTCTCCATATCCACAGGTTCTACTACCCATGGCTTCAATCAATCATGGATCAAAAATATTTCTTTAAAAAATTCATTCGCAGGAGGCTAAGACAGGTAAATCACAAATTCAATGCCAGCCTCAGCAACTTAGGAAGACCTTGTTTCAAAGTAAAATTAAATATAAATATATAAATAAATAAAGTGAGTGAGTTAGGGATAAGCCAGAGCAATTGGGCAAAAGAAAAAAATTAACAGGATACCAATAGGAAAAGAATTCAAACTATCCCTTTTTGCCAACAACATGATTCTATATTTAGAAGACCAAAAAAATCCACCAGAAAACTTCTAGAACTCATAAATGAATTCAGCAAAATAGCAGGATAAATTAACACTCATAAATCGTGTTCCTATACATCAATGATGACTCAACCGAAAAAGAAATTGGGGAAGCTATCCCATTCACAATAGCCTTGAAAAAAAATAATAAAATATTTGGGACTCATCTAACAAAAGAGGTGAAAGACCTCTACAATGAAAACTAAAAACTACAGAACATTAAAGAAACAAACTGAAGAGAAACTTAGAAGATGGAAAGATTTCCCTTTTTTAAAAAAAAAAAAAAAAAGAACCGGGGATTGAACTCAGAGGCACTTGACCACTGAGCCGTATCGCCAGCCCTATTTTTGTATTTTATTTAGAGACAAGGTCTCACTGAATTGCTCAGTGCAACTTAGAAAGCCCGTCTCAAAAATGAGACAGGCCGAGGGTATAGCTCAGTGGTAGAGTGCTTGCCTAGCATGCACAAAGTCCCTGGGTTTAATACTCGGTGTTACAATAAATAAATAAATACTAAAAATTCTATCAAGTATCAATAAAATATAGACATGCAAGGTCTCAAAATTTTATCGCCACAGATACTTTCTTTAAAACCTACCAAAGAATGTGCTCCACCAAAATGAGTTAGTAGACAAAAACAGCTCAACACACCAAAGGCCCAATAGAGCCAGGCACTAGAGAGCAGGTCTGAGCATCATTCAACTGACAGGTGCAGGACTGCCTTCAAGACCCGGGTTAAAACTGTGCTCAGTCATATACAGGCTAGTCTTCACCATATATAATACCCATGGTAAAGTTTTCCAACCCATATTCACTTCACATACAAGTAGATATTTTTATCAACCCACATAAGTATTCTGTTTTGACCTACTCCAAAAGCTGGAGTTTGATTCATCATAGCTCTGATAATCAGAAAATGCTATTTGCTCCTTCTGCCCATATTTCTGCGAGACATCAGTTGCCCAGTCGACACTGAAACCCTGCCAGATGTCCTGAGGTAAGTCTTCTGGTTAGCAGAACTCAGTTACAACCTTAGCCATGAACTTCCTCAGAGTAGCTTTTGTAAACTCTCAGGGAAGCTGAAGCCAGACTGACCCAAAGAATGTCATGTTCTTCTTGAAACCTTAATTATGTAATAATGGCAATACTATCTTTTATACTTGCTAATAGGTTTTTCAAAACTATTTTGTTTAGAAATATATATGTAGGCAATAAACTCAAAGAAATATAAAGGAATAATTAACAAAGTCAGGATGGTGTGTGCACCTGAGTAAAGGAGGGACAACTTCAGACAAACAGGTTTCTTAGATCTTAGTAAATGTCCTATGTCTTAACTTTCATAGGCGTCACTCGATGTTCTATTTCTTAACAGTGAGTACATAATGTTCATTTTATTATTCTTTAAATCATACAATATCATATTAATGATTTGCTTCACAATTTAAAAAAATCCCATCCACTCCCTTTGCCCTTCCATGCTCCATAAAGAACATTCTGGTACTGCTCTGACTTCCACTGTAGCTTTGTTTCCAGTTAAGAAAGGAACATAGGGCCATTTGGCATATACATTTCTCTTCTTAGAGTACTAAACTGGTGTGCAAGTTTTATTTTTAACATACTAAAATAATAAATGCTTAGTTAGTAACTCTCTCTCATAAATCAAATTGGATTTAAAATAAATCCTCTGGCAACCAATACATCTTTAGCAAGTAAACAAATGATTTCTCAGAATCAGGACTTTTTTGATGCTTCAATTTCTTCCCATATTGCAGCTTCAATTTTGGAAGTGTCATATTCCCTCATCATATCAAACTCAAGCCATGGTTGACTCCACTTCTGAGCTTCTTTCATCTGTTCTTCAGTTAAACAAAGATCAAATCTGATTCCTTTAATATTAAAAGATGGACGTTCCCAGCGTTTGGACCAAGGCTTAGGCTTCATTTTAACTTTGAGCTAAGCAAAATTTTAAAAGAAGAAGAATTAGGCTGATACATAAATAAAAATTCTTGTATAGTTTTCATTAAGATGATTCTTTCTTATTTTATGTGTACTTTCAGTTCCAAATGTACAACACATACCATATTAACAGGAATTTCTTTGCTAGACTCTAGTGTTACTGGCTTCATATTCATATCAAAAGTGCTGTATTCAGGAAGGGCATCTCGTAAGTAAAGCAAACTATCATCCAGCCGTTTCTCTAATTTGATCACTTGGATCTCATGGATTCGAGGATTATACAGTTCAAAGCAAATCTCAACACCTAAAAAGAAAACATTTTCAGAATCTAAATCAGAATTCCTGCAAATGCTGCACACTACAGTAAAAGCTATTTCATAAGGAACCAGCACAAGGTTTTGCATGTACAAGATATGACATAAATTTGTAATTTTTAAGATGAAGGAGTATTGAGGCTGGGCATGGGGGCACATGCCTATAATCCCAGTGACACAGGAGGCTGGGACAAGAGGATCACAAATTCAAGGCTACCTCAGCAACTTAGGGAGGCCCTAAATAACTTAGTGAGACCTTGTCTCAAAATAAAAAATTAAGTGCTGGGATTGTGACTCAGTGGCAGAGTGCTTGCTTAGCATGTGTGAGGCACTGGGTTCTATTCTTAACACCACATATAAATAAATAAAATAAAGGTCTGTTGACAACTAAAAAAATAAAATTAAAAAGCAGGCTAGGTATGTATGTGGCTTGGTGGTTAAGTGCCTGCCCCTGGGTTCAATTCCTAATACCAAAAAAAAAAAAAAAAAAAAAAAAAAAACAACAAAAAAAGTGAAGAGTACTGAAAAAAATAGAAATAAGTTAAAATCCATTTAAATAAACAGTAAGATAGAAAGAACAAAGAAAAAGTGAGAAAATCTGAATGAGAATAATAAAGTCTAAAGAAAAAATATCTTCTATAAATGTTAATCACATATCTGTTTAATTCTTATAACATGCATTAATTTACAGAATGTCTTGAGTAAATGCAATCTCTGTCATATTTTTGTTCATTTCCAATTACCTGATTAAAAATTAATCATCAATATTAAGAGTAATAAGATTAATGATCATAAAGAGTAAATGTTATTTTAAGTTTGGTTTAGAAACCTCTCTTAAGGATGGGCCTTTTTTTTAAAATCAGAAAATTTACACATTTTATTGATGCATTGCAATTTTTTTAAATCAGAAAATTTACACATTTTATTGATGCACGCAATTTTTTAAAATCGGAAAATTTACACATTTTATTGATGCATTGAATTGTTCTATATTTTACTATATTATGTAGAAAATACAAGATACTTTGTAAAACCAAAAACAAGCACTGAATCCAAAAAAAGGTAAGCCATGTTTATACAAATAGCCTACATTTTTAACACATTGGTCCTCCACATAAAGCAAGCTAGGAACAGCTTTGAGTATGTCAAGGTACCACAGTAATAATTTAATTATGCCATCTGTATTAACAAACGCTGATATTTTATGAAACAATCCCAAGAGAAATATAATCCTATTATATACAATCAACATTAGTATCAGGATTCAATCCAATATTTACTGTTCCAGTCAGTATCTAGAAACTGTGCCTATAGCAAATCAAAACAGGTAAAATCTTTCTTCTCTCATGAAGTTTACATGCTAGTGGATGATGAACAATAAAGAAACAAGCCAACAAGGTAATTTCATATAGTGAAGACAAGATAGGGTGATGACACTAGAAGGGACAACAATCAGGGAACAACAATCAGGGAAAGCCTATCTGAGAAGATGACATTTAAACTGATGCTATATAGGTCTAAAATGCTCTAGGCAAAAAGAATAAAATACAAAAGCCCTGGGGTTTTAAAAACATGTCATGTTGGAAAAAAACAGGGAAGGGCCCATTTGGCTGGAGCAAATAACTTGGTACTACGCAAAGTTTTGTGATTTGCATGTCCCCTCCAAAATTGTTGTTGAAAATTTTTATTAGAATGGTATTAAGAAGTGAGGCCTTTTGTAATAGTACCTTATAAAAAGGCTGGAGGGAACTAGCTTAGGCCCATTTTACTCCTTCACCACCAGGTGAAGACACAACATTTGTCCAGTCCACATGTAAATCAACAAGGTACCATCTTGGAAGCTAGGGATTGGGGCCCTGCCTCACAGAACCTGCCAGTGCTCTAATCTTGGATTTCTCAGCCTCCAGATCTGTGAGAAATTTCTTTCTTTATAAATTACATAGTCTGGGCATTTTGTTATAGCAGCACAAACAAATTAAGATAACCAGGAGTGTAAACTAGAGACTGTACAACTGCAGGCAGGAAATGATGGTGACATGAATAATTGTGTTTGCAATGAAGAGGAAGAAAGAGACAAAACTGGATGTATATTTTGGAAACTGAACCAAGAAAACTTACTGACTGAATGTGTAAAAGAAAATAAATTATTTGAGTAAATAGGTGGGCAGTAGTAGCATTTATAGAAATAGAAAAGACTGCAAGAAGAGCACTCTAAGAAACAAAGAGCTGTATTCAAATTGATTTATGCACATAAGACATTCAGATGGAGATACTAAAGAGGCACTTGCATATGCACATCTAGAACTAAAAAGGATCAGTCATGGGGATAACCAGTGTGAAAATTATGGGGATGGTATATAAAGACTAGGCTAGAAGGAACCACTGTAGCAGGGAGCACTGATGGGAAAGATCAAGGCTGGTTACAATAGTCAAACATACTATAGAGAATGGCAATAAGGAGCTAATAGTTTTTTGAGTGTTCTATGTCCAGTATTTCATGTACAATATCTCAATAGCTGGTTGACTAGAACACTGTGAGGAAGAAACTATTAACATTTTAGTCTTCAAGAAGAAAAATAAAACCCATCTGTTGACTCACAGTTATATTCATTTCTCTTAGAAGACTTCAAACTAGGCATGGTGAGTAAACACCAGGAGGCTGAGATAGGAGAATCAATTGCAAGTTTGAGGACAGCCTCAGCACCTTAGCAAGGCCCTAAGCAACTTAGTGAGACTCTGTCTCAAAATAAAAACTAAAAACAGCTGGTGATGTAGCTCAGTGAAGTACTCCTGGATTCAATCCCCAATACCAAAAAAAAAACCTTCAAGTACATGACTTGATGGGAGGTACCAGAATCTGTAATCGATCAAGTCCTTCTGAATTCCTATGTATACATTACAGAATAAACAAGACAGCAACTACTCTCATATTATCGGCTTCTCTGAATATAATACTTCACTACTGGGAACCATGAGGCATACAACTTTTAACTACAAAAACTTTACATGTCCTGCCATTTAAATTCATAATCTTCCTAGAATTTTACATGTTCCTCTACCTTATTAGACATAGCATGCAAGCACGATTTTGCCTGCTTTAAATGCCTCCAAGGTTTATAAAACAGTATAAATGTGGTGACTGTTTTCTGTCATAATATAAAGCAAAATGGAAAGATTCATTTTAGGAGTAAGTAATTCATAGAACATTGTTATGTCTGTCTTAATATTCTCATAGGTTATTTGCTCCTAAAAGGAATATCACCAATGCTTTATAGTCACTTGTTTCCTCCCCTGCTGCTATAGTGAGTACACTTCTAATGGCTGTTGTCCCTATAAAAAAGGAAGCATCAAGAATAAGCAGACCACCAAGTGTATGTAACCTGTAACCACAATTCACAATTCTCGATCCATTCTAAGGCCAGAAGGTCCTTACTTTTCCTCAGAGGTGTCCCTCATCCCCCACCAATTAACTTTTAGGTTTCAGATGTCTTGTTCCAGGAAGCAAAAAACAAAAAGGAATCCTTAGAGATTATTATTTAATTAAAATAATAGAGAATGGCAAGAAGGAGCTAATCGTTTTTATTATTATTTTATTATTAAAATAATAAAAATAATAATATTAAAATAATAAAATTAAGCTTACCTTGTCCTTCAATAGTATTCCTAAGAATAAAGGTAGCTCCAAGTCCTTTTCCTGATCTATGGATGCAAATCCCCAGAAACTGGCTGATTTTTCCACTGGCATATGGGTCAGCTGTAGTAACACGTAGTATGCTTCCTACCAATTCAAAAGAGAAGTGAACTTGTATATGAGATGCAGAAACAAATAACATTTTTAGGTAATTGACCTTCCTAAACTTTTTAATAAAATATTAGGAATAAGTGCCTCCTCGGGGCAAAACCCTGATATGTAAAGAATAGTGTTCTTTGCAATAGGGAAAACTAACCTTCCAACTACTAAGAATAAAGGCATCCAGCTCTTACTGACCAACATAGAACTCTGGAATGTGGAGTACTTTTCTCCTTTCTAACATATCTCTTCTTTCTACTTGAAATTTCAGAGGATTTGTTCTTCCCCTGGGAGGAATGAATTCAGGACTCAAGAACCTGTTAAAAAATACAAAGAACAAAATGAATTAAAAGCAAACTTAGGCCACTAGAAGAAAAACCTGTTGCTTTAAAAAGAAATGGAAGAATATGGTATTGACACGTTATTTTTCACTTCCTAAATTAGGAAGGCAATTTTATTTCTAAAACTGTGGTATCTAAAATTATTGTTAATGCTCCTGAAAACAGCTAACAATTCCTGAGTACTCACCCAGAATTTTGTTAAAAAGTTTTACGAAACATCTAAGTAGCTGATATAGTTTGGATCTTAAATGTAATCCCAAAGGCTTATATGCTAAAGGTTTGGTTGGCACCATCAGGAGACAGTGGAGCCTTTAGGAGGTGGGGCCCAGAAGAAGGAAGTTAGGACAGTGGGGGCAAGTCTCTAAGGATTGTTTTGGACCCTGGCCCTGAACTCTCTCTCTTTGTGCTTTCCAACCACCATGAAATGAGCAGTTTCTTTTGCCACACACTCATTCCATGATGTACTGTGCTACAGGTAAAAGCAACAAGGATACATTCAAGCAACAATGGACTGAAACTTCTGAAACCATGAGCTTAATCAGTTTAAAGGAGGAAATATTTTATTTATCTCGGGTACTCTGTCATAGCAACAGAAAGCTGACTGACACAGTAGCATTAATTAATCTTTTTAGAGACTAGGTAGGTTTAGTATTATCAATTCTTTTTTAAAGGTGAAGAAACTGAAGCTTGAATAAGTAACTGATCCATTATTATATTAATTATAAATTTATCAAGTCAAGATTTAAATGTAAATATGTCTGTCAGTCTCCAAAACCTATGATAATAACCACAGGCCTCCTTCACATTGAGTTGTAACAATAAATTATGTTGAAAAAGGTATAAACATATAAAACACCAATTACAAACTGACTTTGAAAATAATCTTCCTATTTTCTTAACTGATTTCAAACTTATTATGAAATATTTCACATATAGAAAAGCATAAATGACATTAAAATTAATATTCACCCATCTTAATAAATAAATTAGCAATGTAGTTGAAGCTCCTGTGCATCCTTCCTACTCTACTATTGTAAATTTGGTTATTAGTCCCATAAATTTTTCTTTTCTTCAATTTTCAACTGAAAATTCTCAAACCAACCAGAGTTGGCATGATATAACCATAACCATGCACCTTTACCAACTGCTTAAATTGCTATATTTCTTTATATGTGCATATTTTTCCTAAACATTTCAAAATATCTAATAGCAAGGCATATTATTCTCAATAATTAAGGTCTAGGACTTACTCCACATTATCACAATACCTTTATGACACCTAAGAAAATTAGTGTTAATTCAATAATGTATTTTAATATATAGTTCATACTCAAATTGTATTTAATTATCATGGAAAGATCTTTTATATGTTTGTTGCCCAATTCAAAATATAATCAAGCTTTACACATTTTATCTGGCTGTTAGTCTCAACCTGGTACTATTCCCCAGCTTTGTATTTCTATTAACATTGACTCTTTTGAAAAGCCAAGGCCAGAGTGAAGATGCAGCTCCATTAGTAGAGTCCTTGCCTAGCATTTGCAAGACCCTAGATTAGACCCCCAGCACTGGGGGGAGTGGGGGGGGGGGGCTTAAAATTTTTTTTAAAAAAGATAGAGTGAGAAAAGTCAAGGCCATCATTGGACCCTGGATTTATTTTTTCCACATGCCTAGACTAAGGTTAAGCATTTTTGGTAAGAATATTACAGGAGATGATGGCAGTGTCTTATTCTGTCATATTAGGAGGCACATTATAATAATATGAAATCTTGCCACAATTGCAGTAGGTTTGATTGCTTGGTGAAGGTGGAGCATGTCCCCTTCACATATGCATGTATGTCTGGGCGATATATAATACTGTTTAGCATGGTTTTAAACTCATAAAATGGTATTATACTATATCGATTATTCTAAAAGTTGCTTTTTACATAAATCATGTTTGTGAAATTAATCTATATCTTGTTTGCTCTCATTCATTCGTTTTTTTTCACTATTGTGCAATATTTCAATGTATGATCATATTTGCCTATTCACCTCTGGTGGATACTTTGGCCACCTCTCATTTTTAGTTTGTTACAATAATGTCATGTTCATTCTTGTACATATGTGTTAGAGTACCTTTAAGTTGAGTGCCTTCTAGGTGGAAAGTTATACACAACTTCAAATTTACTACATTTCACCAAATTGTTTCCAGAGTATACAGTTTACATTCCTTAAATGAATTTTATTAAGAGCTGGCCACTAAGAAATACCTTTTCCACCTTCAAAAGAAAAAAAAAAAAGTTAAAGAATATCTTTTTCTGAGTTGCTAAGTTCCCTAAATCCAAGTTTATTTCAGTTTAGAACTACAGAATACTTTAAATGTTTTTTTTAAAAGAACATTCAAATCTAATCAACAACCTACAGCCCTTCCAGAAAGCCTCTAATCACACTGTTTTTCCTCCTAAAATTTGCTTTTAAAAAATTTCACATGGCTCTACAGAAACACTTCCTATAAATCTTACTTTTAAATTTGCACGTACTGCCTAGGTTACCAATATTCATTTAAGTGACCGAGAATTTTACTTAAGACTGTTTGAAGAGCAAAGTTTTTGGCCAACAGATTCCTACGTATGGTGAAGGATTTGGGGGAGAAAAGACCAACTCCGATACAAACAGGTGTAAACAAGATGTGCCTCAGAGGAAATCTTTGGTATAGTAAAAGAGCTTCAAGTCTGGGGAATTCCTACTTTAAGTTCTGACTTACTAAAACTGCAAAGAAGTTCGATGCTAACTTGGAGACAAGCGGTGAGGACAGAACTGAGCTGGGCGCCCTCCAGGGAGACGGCGCCGGCCGCCTCCACACGCGCACGTGCAGAGGGTGCCGGGCCGCGCTGGCCAGCCAGCCAGACCTCGGAGCCAGTCCGCCTCCCGCCCAGCACGGCCTCACCTCCTGTCCTGCTCCGGGGGTCGGCGCTTATCCACAATGACCGGTTTCGGCGGCGGCCGGAACTCGCCGGGCTTGGAAGGCCCAGTGCTCTGCTGCCGGCCGGGCCCCGCGCGGACCCCTGCAGAAGCGAACAACAGAGATCAGGGCTCTCCGCTCAGCCAGAGACAGGCAGAGCCCGGCAATCTTTTCCAACCTGCAGACCAACAACCAGTCGCTCCTGCACACCTCTCTCCAACATGGCCCTCGCGGCCTCCAGCACTAAAGCCCCGCTCCACTTACCGCAGGCCACAGAAGCAGGTGCAGGGAACAGCGCCCTGGCGGCTCGGAAGCTCTGGGCCAAAGCCATGGCAGCCCCACAACCCCCTAAGGTGGAGGCGGCCATGTTGGCTCACTCAGGTAGAAACTACAACTCCCAGAAAGCAATGCGATGAATGCGGCCAGATGGTGGATGTTATGGGACAAAATATGCAAAAGCTTCTCTTTCTCCACTTCCTCCTGAGAAACAGTTTGGCCACAGTCCCTGAAATTACAGACAGCATTACCCTTTTAAGGAACTAAATTTCAGTTTGGACTGGGCAACTGGGAGAGATCCAGCAAAAAAATGTAAATTTTAAGTCTTGTTAGGAAATTTGAGGAACTGAGAGTACAGCTAAGTGGCAGCTAAGTCTGCTTGCACAAGACCCCGGGGTTCCAACCCTTCACCAAAACATAAAACAAAACCAAAATGAAAAGAAATTTGTGTTTCTCGGGAATGGTGAGCTTCTGGAAGGATTTAATACTTAAACTAATGTGATTATTGGTCATTTTATCGAATCAGTGTCCCAAAGTTACCTCAAATTCAGCATGTCCATTCAACATAATCTTCTTTAAGCTTCCTTCCCAGTATTGGCTTCAACATCCATTTTGTTGCTCCAGGCAAAAAGTGCTATCTTGGTTCTTCTCTGTCTCTCCGTGGTAAATAGCCTAAAATTATGCTGGGCACCATCAAATATCTCAAGAATCCTTGCTTTCTCATCTTCCCATCCATATCTCTAATACATGTTACCAGCCTTTATCCTCAGATCACTGCAAGTAACAACTATTTCATTGGTTGTCTGGCCTCTCATTTGGTTCTTCTCCACACAGCAAACAAAAAAGATAGCTCAGAAATGCAGACATTATTTTTGGTTTTTCCCAGTTTAAAGCCTTCCACAGTTTTCTACTGACCTTGCATGAAAACAAAATTATCAGAAAACAACTAATCTCTGTAGCTTGCTTCCACGTTCTCTGGCTTGCCATGAGCTTATACATGATCCTAAGAAAGAGGACCAGGTTCTAAGGGCAGAATTCAAGGTGCTTTGAGGAAAGACATGGTCTTCTATTTTAACTACAGCTTTGTTAATTAGAACAAGAACATATCCTAAAAATAACAAGGAATCATACAATCAAAATTTCAGAATGGCTAAATTTTGCCTATTTTTCCCACCTTAAAAAAAAATGTCAGACACTTAAGGAAGCTTAAAAGGGAGAAGAGGCAAAGAATTGTGACTGGTGGTAGTGAGGATTTTTCTATATATTGTTATACTCAGAACAACTTGACTATCACCCTTGCTAGGACTGTCCCTATGGGTGAGGCAGAGAATAATGATAGACCTTCACAGGAGGAAGGCAGAATTTTCTAACATTCCCAAGTTATCCCTGCTGCCCTACCCATCTAAGGATGAGAAGGTTTTGCAGAGTTTTACAAAACTGACAAAATGTACCTAAAGAATCTTATTTAGTCCCCTTCCATGTTCCTACTTACCCAATATCCATCAGGCCTCTCTTGACCTTACCTTAGCATGAAGAACAAGTTGTGGTTTTAATGATTCTACCAAACAACTTCATGGAGTAAAATCAAAAGAGCATAGAGTCAGCTCAATCATTTCATAAACTGATTACAGAAAGACAACTTTATTTATTTCTATATTTTATAGTCATAGGAAGGAGAGCTTGGACATCATTACATAAGGGAATGAAGTATTCTAGGCAAAGTCCCCATGTCAGGTTATTGTGACATCAGGATTTTTTGTCTGTTTTGCTAATTATTGCAGCCTCTATGCCCAGTATCTGCTACTCAAGATTGAGATAATGAATTAGTAAGTTCTTGGGTAGATGTCTGACTCATAATAAGTCCTTTGTTTCTAGCTTTATTGGGGCATGACTAAAAGTAAAAAAAAAAAAAGTATATATTTAAGGTGTACAGTGTGATGATTTGACATACATATACTTTATGAAATCATTACCACAATTGAGCCAAGTAACATAACCATCACTTCATATAATTACCCATTAAAAATGCTTTGTTTTAATTTACTTTAAAGATGCCAGCAAGAGGAGACTATGACCTGATCTATATATGAACCCACCCAAAAAAAAAAAATCTCTCATTATAAAGAGGGGTTGGTCATCATAGTAGTTTAGAAAACTAGAGTTACAACATGAAAAGTTGGCCAGTGACCAGCCAGAAAAGGAAGGAGACTTAGCCCAGTGGTTTGGGGAATTGCCAAGCCCACTGATGAGTCCATCCTGGGGCAGAGAGAGACATATCAAGTTGTAGCCAGTAGTTGTCAAGGTATCTGATTCAGCTAATGAAGTGATCCCGAGGGTGAGCGTTAACCTACTGGCAGGAAACATTTGAAGCCTTTATTAAGCTCCCATTGTTCTATGTTCATGTAACATCTACTTATTTTTTGGCATTTAATTTTGCCTTCAGAGAAAGACGTACTCATCACAGAGACTCAAATGTTCTGGTATTCTGATCAGCATGATTATTTTGTGTTTTATTATAAATTAATTAACTAGCATTAATTTTGCCATATTAGTCTCCTAAGTCTGGTTCAGGGGAGTCTGCCCAGAAAAGTGAATCTATTTTATACTGTGCTAAACAATCAGGTGCTGGCCTTCCAAAACCTTTGAAAGATCCAAGGCCATGGCATGACAAATTCTCAAAAGTGAAAAATAGATGTGAGACCTCAAGCTGTATATCTTTCCTGCATAAAAGACCTTGATGTTGGGCTGGGGTTGTAGCTCAGTGGTAAAGCGCTTGCCTCGCACGTGAGGCACTGGGTTCGATCCTCAGCACCACATAAAATAAATAAAGATATTGTGTCTATCTACAACTAAAAAAAAAAAATTTAAAAAAGACCTTGATGTTGCCTCAGAAGCCATGCACACACCTATTTATGCATGTATACACACACTTGTATTCACTATTTGCATATCTATCTTGTTGTTCAATAAATTACTCCAAAATTCAGTTGCTTAAAACAATAAACATTTACTGTCTCATGGTATGTGGGAGAGGAATCCAGAGGTGATATAGCTGAGTGATTGTGACTTGGTTTTTCCACAATGTTGCTATCAAGAAATCGAGATGCTGGCCAGGGGGATGAGAGGGCTGGGTTCAATCTCTAGCACAGGTGGGAAAAAATGTTGGTCAAAGTTTGTTTGTTTGTCTCTTTCTTTCTTTGGTTTGGTTTTGCAGTGGCAGAGATCAAAATTTTACCTCTATCTTGAACCTCCCGCTTGCCTTTTATCACAAATCCTTGGTCTTAACAACACCTATAGGTTCAGACTTCTTTATTCTCTCTGTTCAAAGTCAGTTCTTTGAGATCAGAAGCTGTTTTAAGGCTTATTTCTCTACCGAGGCAGATCTCTGAGACAGAGCTGTGGATATGAGACTGAAGATGGTGGTGAGCTTCTTTCTGAGTGAAACCCTATTGGAGTTATGTGCTTGTTAGAAGGGGGTTATAGCTTCAGGCCTTCTTGCCTTGCCTACTCCCCTGGAATGGAACCACTGTCCCACAAGCCAGGGCAAGAGTGAGCAGGGCTCCAGTATTCTCAGTGAGTTGTGCATAAAGTAAGCTTCCCTTCCATGAGCTACGGCTGTGCAGAAGCAGGGTAACCCCATGCTCCATCTCACCTGCTCAGGAGTTGGTCTCATCGACATAGCTGGGGATAGGATCAGATGCTGAGGTCCTGTTCCTCCTGGAGAGAAAGTCCTCCATCCGGGTGCTGAGTGAGGGGAAAGAGAGCCTGGGCTCTTGGTTACAGCAGCCCAGAGTAGAATCACTGCCCATCTGAGGGCAGTCTAGATTTAAATACCTCATGTTTCTCACTGAATTTTCATAGATGTTCTGAACAGCTCTTCATTTGTTCTTTGCCCTCAGGACTATTTTCAGAGGCCTCAAATGGAGATATGTAAATACATATGAATATACATAAAAATTTTCACTAGTCTCATTGAGGAGAGGGTCAGTGAGTTCTTCATATTGTTGAAGTCAGTGTCTTCTTTTGCTTTAAAATGAGGTGATAACAATGTGCCTTGAATCCCACCACATATCCCTGACATCTTGGGGCTGTCCTAGACCTCTCAACACGTGCTTTCTGAAGACACTGATTAATTCATAGTTTTTCATTTCTTCCCCTTCCAGATCTTGACCTGAAGGCACTTCCCAGTGTCAAGGCAACACAAATAACCCTTTTCCATTTCTCTTTCTATGAACATTAATATTATCAGTTGAAAGATAGTGGCTACTGAAAAACAACATGTTAATTAGAAATTTTCAGATTAGACCTTTCTTAAGTACTACTTTTCAAAATCAGAAATATTTCATTAAAAGTTTGTTAGTTGTTTGAAAGTATTTCCTGATAATAAGTTTTAAAAGTTTCCCCCAATATCGAGTTCTGAAAAACAGCTTATCTTCAACAAAATGTGTGTGTTTTTCCACATAAACCTGAGTTGATTTCAGGCCAAGAATGTATTTTCAAGGATCATTTCTATAATCTGCTGCTAGTGAAGTGTACTGAGTGTGTAAGCTACTGGTAACCTTGAAGATGAGTGGTAGTGTTTTCTCCTGAGCACAGGCCGGCCTGTGGTGTTGCCTGGTGGCAGCTGCCACTTCTCCACCATGACGACTTTTCCTTTCTTTTGGGAAATAGAGAGAGCACAGGCAGAGGAGTTTCTTAAATATTTCTTATGTATTTCATAAAATTAAAAAGGGAAACGTATTTCTTTTTGAAATTGTTAACAAAGGCAAATCCTTATTTTGTCCTCTGTATGACACAATCTGAAAACCTCGAGAGATTTAGTATTGCTTGAACAGAAATCTCAAGGTTGGGGAGAGGAGTACATGTAAGGTCATCCTGCATGAAGGGACAGCAGGCAATGCCCATGGATTTAGAATTTATAGGAAGGTATTCAGGGAGCTGTCCAGGAAAGTGATAAGCAGGGGTGAGGCCCAAAGGGTTTAGATCACAGGGCAGAACAAGGATGTCTTAGGGTAGGATGATGAGATGACTAAGGAGAATGGCCAGGGCCACAAGAGAAAGGAGGCCACAACCCTCAACTTAGGTCATCAG